CAGAAGGTTTGATTTATTATTTTATGATATATATTACATTAAAACTATACTAAAAGAATAGAAGAAAGGATTTCATCAGAAGGCTAGCTAAGAATAGAACAGGAAAGAATGATAACAAAGGTTTGTGGCTCAGCTCTCTGTCTGAGCCAGCTCACTGTGATTGGCCATTAATTGCAAACATCCAATAGGGGCCAATCACAGATGCACCTGTTGCATTCCAGAGCAGCAGATAATCAATGTTTACATTTTGTTCTTGAGGTCTCTCAGCTTCTCAGGAGGAAAAAATCCTAAGGAAAGGATTTTCCATAAAAGATGCCTGTAACACCAGCCCTGCCTCAGCTGCTTATGGAGCAAAGAGTATTGTAAAACCAGAAAGCACAGGCAAAAAACAGAAAGCACAGTTCTATGGTTAAAACTCCATGGAAAACCAAGCACTTGTGCAACACAGAAAGAGTTGAGGTGAAGAAGTTCTTGGGGATGAGGGAAGATGAGAAGGAGGAACAGCTCACAGCAGATTTGTATGGAGCAGCATGGTGCCAGCACCTCAGCATGTCCCTCACGTACTTCCAAAGCCTTCAATCAATTTTAAAATCCCAGAAATGATCTCCTTCGTTCTCACTAAGCAGCAGCTGTGTGGGCATTCTGAGCAGAAGCAGCAATCAAACCTGAGCAATGTTCTCCTGCCTCAGTGCTTTACACCAAAAGCTGCGTGAGCATCACCCACCAGCCCTGTCCCTCTTCACAAAGTCACCACCTTGACCCTGAACAGCTACTGAGAGAGTGTTTTACTTTGAGTTATCGCTGCCTGGGTAATGGAAGAATTATGAATATTGCTGACCCAAAGGCTTACATCAAAACTATTTTTTTTCCCCAAGATATCGCATCCATTTCTAATTAGAATCTCGTCAGAAAACTACTTCAGGTGAAGCATGCCTGCATTTCACAGCAAAAAATCATTGGTTCCTTTAAATTCTGAAATACATTTTAAGGGTTTATTCCATACCTTTTTTTTTTTTTGTGACACATAATTATACCAACAGCACTATTATAAATTACACCCAGCTTTTTCATTACACACCAACCAGACGACGCTTTGATCTGTAAGAAAATGCATCTCCAAGTACTAAACAGTGGCTGCCTGTAGTTTTGCTACCAGCAAAATAACAAAAGCAGGTGGAATAGTCTCAGGCAGCATGATTTATTGCCTCTGTGCTCACCCTGTGATAAATCAGCACAGCCCAGAAACAGCTCCTGTGCCCCTCCAAGAGCTCCCATCCATCCACCAGCCCAGCACTACTCACCCCTGGATCTCTGGCACCAGCATGGGCTGCTCCTCTGAACTGATGAGTGGGATACACCAGGCAGGAGAAGGATGCTCCAGGCTAGCTCAGGAGCTGTGCTTTCCATTTAGACTCACATTTCCATTTCCTCTGGTCATCAGCGAGTCTCTGTCTCCCCACACAAGCTTGGGTGACCCTGAATGAGGCCTCTCAGGTGGCCGACACAGCAGAAAGGTTTTGTTTTTTTCCTCCAGGCTTCTGAAGATCCAAGAAGGATTTTCTTGCTCCACACACAGGTTAGAAACCCACAAACCTGGTGCTGTGACAAGGCAGTGAAAAAGGAGCTCTGAGTCTGTTTGTGGGTTTTTTCCACTTATGTTTGAAGCCAGATTATAAGCAAACTAAGAAAAGTACATCTAAATCAGATGAAAATTAGTTATCTCTAGAAGCAGAGACAGCCATGCTCAACCCTAACTGAAACAGAATCTTCCAGAAGTGCATGGGAAGCTCTTTGTAGAGGCAACCAACTCAAGTGAAACTGGCACTTCAAAAATAAACTTTTTCCAAGCAGTCAGCCTGTTAGGCTGAAATACTTTCTCATTCCTGATCCTTTCACCAGTGCTCAACTTCCCCCAAAGCAAGAGGAAAGCTCCATGACCTCCATTTTTAATGACCAGGGTGAAAACTGACCCCAGCTGCCTCAGGGGATTGGAGCAAGCAGGAGGTGCCCACATCACCTGTGTGTGTCCCAAAATTTGGGTCAGAGGCTGCTTTCCCCCAGGCAGTGGGTGCTGCTGGCTCCAGGCCAAAGCAGATTGCAGCACAGTGTGCCCTTCACTGTTCCTCACCCAGGGCACCCTGGCAGGGATGGGAACCAGCAGTGCTGTGGCTCCAGGCTCACTGCACTGGCCATGGACCTCCCTTCTCCACAGTGCCCACCCAAAAAGAGCCCTGTCACAGACATCTTTTATGGAAAATCCTTTCCTTAGGATTTTTCCTCCTGAGAAACTGAGAGGCCTCAGGAACAAAATGTAAGCAATGGTTATCTGCTGCTGTGGAATGCAACAGGTAGATCTTTGATTAACCCATGTTGGTTGTTTCTAATTAATGGCCAATTACAATCAGCTGGCTTGGACAGAGAGTCCAAGCCATAACCTTTGTTATCATTCTTTCCTATTCTATTCTTAGCCAGCCTTCTGATGAAATCCTTTCTTCTATTCTTTTAGTATAGTTTTAATATAATATATATCATAAGATAACAAATCAAACCTTCTGAAACATGGAGTCAGATCCTCGTCTCTTCCCTCATCCTCAGTCCCCTGTGAACACTGTCACAGAGCCCACTGCCTTCTTCTGGGGATGGGTAGAAAGTGGTCTTGGGCACACAGAAGATTTTTTCTCCTTTTCTGTCATCCCCTGGCATTTTGGCCCCCATCCATGCAGCAGGCAGCAGATGACTCTGAGCTCTGTCCTGGGATTTTGGACTTTGTCCAGCTCACCTCTGAATCCTGCTGTGCCCGAGGTCCTTTCCAGAAATTACCCAACTTCTGGGAATCTGGTGCTTCTCCAGGTGTCACCAGGTTAGAGGAGCTCAGCTCAGTCACCTTGGGGCCACAGGGGCCCTTCTCTCCTCCCACCCATCCCCAGCGTGGTTCTTGGCCCATGGATGCACAGAGGGGCCACAAAGCCGCCTCCTCCCTCAGGGCTGGGCATGAGACAGCTTGGAAGGATCTGTGGCTGGGTGCCTCCATCCTGGCTGGGTCTGGGGGCTCAGCACCACTGACCTGCCTGAGCAGAAGGTAACAACCCCAATTCCCACTGGCTGGCAGGAATTGCAGCATCCAGTAGGCTCTTGGGAAGAGGAATTCATTGGGTGTGTGCAGGACTCACCTTTACCTTGCTCAAAGTTCAGGAAGAGCCCTATGGATTTGCATTTCCCTAAGCATTCCTGCACCCAGAAAGCCTTGAGACCACAGTTCTTGGCTGTGCAGTGTCTTGCATCAAGGTCACAGCTGCTGGCCAATGACACATTGCCCCAATATCAGTGCTCTCTCACACATTTCCCTTCCAGGACATCAGATATACCAAGGTCCATTGTGGATGTTGGCTCTGCAGAGAAATCTCTCTCCAGGATAAATGCTTTGTGTGTCCTCCTGCTGCTGCCAGGAGCAAAGCCAGAGGAACAGGATGGGTTGTTTCTAAATCCAACAGGGAAGGTGTCAACTCACAATTGTCCTCTGAGGTCAAAAGATAGCACAAAGCATCTATAAATTGATGATCCAGTCAGAGTACATTAAATAAATATCTGCCTATTAGTTCAGCTCCAAGAGCCTGAAGGCAAAATAGCTTTTCCTTTATAAACAACAAAGAGCCAATGTTTTCCAAATCAGGTCATCCTTGATTTGGGGATGAACCTCCAAGTATCGCTCTTTAAAGAACTATTATTGTGGCACACTGAAAGACAGCCCATTACAGTGCACATGCCCCATTAGCAGTGATTTATATACACTGACACATTTTTTTCTTTAATTTTCATTTCAAATTCATTTTCCTCTTCCGCATGGCCATAAGGTTCACATTCCTTGTCAGCCCCAGGTGCTCCCCAGGATGACATCCAATGTCCTCACAGCCCACATCAGCAAAAATACCTGGCAGAGCTTTCCAGCAGCAATGGGACAGCCTGGAAAAGCAGCAGCATGGGCTCATCCTGCTGTCACCACATGGAGCCAGCAGCCTCATCAGGTTCTTCACTTTGAGGACCAAGCAAATATTTAACAAGTTCCCCTTGCACTACACCACAGTTCATTATCCGGTCTCCAGAGCTGCTCCAGTCAGTAATATCCTCTAATTGATGTGATTTGGCACTGGGCCATGGAGTTAAATTGATTTGTAGGCCAGCAGGAGACAGCAGATGCCCTTTACACTTGAGGAAAGTGGCATGTGCTGTGTTTACTGGCTGCTGCAGGGGAATGCTGTGGCACCAGATGCCTTTTGGGGTGCAGGAAGGGGCTTGGCCTGCTTGGTGTCCTTGTCACAGCCCCATTGAGTGGCAGGGTGTCACTGCCACCAGGGAGTGCCTGGGGATCACCCCAGTGATGAAATCCCCTCCCTCCTCGGCCCCAGGGATGCTGGTGCACAGGGTGAGAGAGAAACAGGGAATTCCCTTCTCTAAACAGGCCAGGAGGAACAAAGGTGATCTTCTGACCATGACCTTTTGAGGGGTGCCCCAACACAGTCCCCCATCTCTGGGCTGGAACAAAGCCCTTTCTGGGGCAGGAAACTGGCTCCGGTTGTGTAAGGGCAGGAGGAGCAGGGACATCCTGCCTGTTGCCTTCAGTAGTGTTGGTTGTCACATTTCCAAACTGCTTTGGAAATTATTGCCAATTATTTTGCCAATTATTTTAGGGCACTGTCATGCAACTCTTGCTCAGGAAGGTCTACAAGTTTTAACAACTGTATGCAGCTCGGCTCCAGGGTTGCACCTCCAGCATATTAACACTGTGGAAAAAGGAAGCCAGCATGGAATCTCAGCTCTTATCATCAGCCTAGTTCTCTGAATATTTAAGCTGACTTGAAAGCCTCTTTTTATAATTATGAAAAAAACATTAATATGGTAGAAGAGTTAAGAATCTCATTTTCCATTTCAATCACCTTATTCATATTCTGAGAATTTTAGGCCAGCATTGAAATCCTTTTCTTATCACACCAGAAAGCGATATTCACCTTTAAGATATTTATTGACAATTAAAAAGAGTAAGATTACAATCACTCATATAAAAATAATAAATCTGAATAAAGCAGGATGACTGGTGGAGGTGGGAGGATTCCTCCTTGGCTGTCACATCACTCCAGGCCTCATGGATTGGACAGGGCTGGAAGGATTTTTCCTGAGCACTGGCCAAATCCCACACGGAAGCCGTTGCCCTGGCAGTACCCTGGGGACAGAAAACAACACACAGCTTGTTCTCTGAGGACAGCAGGGTTTAGTGAGGAATAAAAGTGAATAAAGGCATAAAGGGACTAAAACCAAGTGAAAACATCTCAGATATGCAATGAAGGGCAGGAAAAAAGAGCACCTGGAAGAGTTCAAGTGGCTCTGGAATATGACAAAAAAGAAGCACAAACTGTTAAACACAGCAATATGCAAGTTCAGTGAATTGATCAGAGAACAAACAAGATGTGCCAGCAATATTTCTGTTTTCAAACCTAACCTGCAGCACCATCAATCTACCTGGCAAACTGATTCACTGCCTGGCCCAGCCCTGCAATTAATCAAATAAATCTGGATTCTCTTTCTGCAGCATCAGGACTGCTCTTGGGATGTTGGGATGCTGGCAGCCACAAAGGCAGTCATTAAACCCCTCAAACAGCAGCTCCTACCCTTGCAGAAGCTGTTTCACTGGCTAAAGTGGTTTAGTTCCGTGAGAAATCCAGCATCTGACTGCAAGTTCTCATTAATGCTCTGTTACATAAGAGGGGTGCTGCAGAGCTCAGGGGCTGTGACAGCATCTCTGACCACGGGGCAGCTCTGGGTGTCCCTGCTCCTGTGACATTGGGACAGGGATGCTGCAGCTCCTCCAAGCTGCTCCACAAACAGCAGCCACCACAAAGCTGCAGGCAGAGCAGGGGACACAGCCTGGCCCCTCTGAGAGGTCTGTTCTGCAGCCTTCTGCTACAGCAGCTGATCAAAGGAAGGACAAGTGCCATATGCTGCATTTTAAGGACTGATTTCCTAGCTAGAGATGGATTTTCCTGATGGAATACATCACCTGCATGTGATAAAAAGCATCTGCCTTCAAGAAGCCAAGGAGGAGCTCAGCAGAATGGCCCCTAATTCCCACTCTTAGCACAGATCAGGGGAAAACTCCCCTGAGGAAGAGGAAGGGCGGGCTCAAGCTGCAGGGCAGCCAAAGTGACTGCAGCACAAAGAGAGACCCTGCCAGCCCTAACCCACCCTGCAGCTCTCACAGCTGAAATGAAGTTTTCCAAGGCCAGTGGTGTCTCTAAGTGCTTGTGTAAAGCCACAGACACCGTCCTGGTACCTGCCAGGTAATCCTCATCCCTAAGCAGCAGTGGAAAAAGGCACTGCAAGGCTCAGCCCAGCTTCCATGTGCCTCATTAGGCTTCATTGCCAGCTTTCCTTTGAGCAGCAGCTGATGATTTCAGTCCAGTTTGGTTATCCCTGCTGTCAGGCACAATTTAGAGCAGCACACTGAACAGAGCCAGCCCTGGTCTGCCAGCATGCCTGGCCTGAGCTCTGAGAGTGCCAAGGAGCTGCTGAGGGGTTTTGGCTGCCCAGCACCACCAGGAGCCTTCCCCTGCCGTGCTCCCTCCCTGAGACACTTGGGAGAAATACATTTCTCTCATTTTGTGTGTTAAGTCTCTGAAATAGGTCCCAAGTGGGGAGTAAGAATACAGAGCTGAAAGAGGAAACCAGGAATGATGTGTTGAGCACTTTGCAGTGCCTTGGGAGGGGATGGAATAGCACCAGCCCTGCCCCAGGGGTGCCCTAAGGCCCTGGACCTGCCATACATCAATAAATGAACAAATAAATAAATAAATAAATAAACAGGAGCAGCTCCCACACAGCCCCAGCTCCTTGCAATGCCCTGGTGCCACAGCCACAAACGCTGCCAGCGTGAACCAGCCCAGCAGAACAACTGCCCTGGCACTGCCCCCTGCCTTCCCCAGCCTACAGCAATGCCATCATGCCACCTCTAAAGATTAAAGGCATTCAGGATTCAAAGTACTTAATGAATTAACACAGTTTGTTAATTGGGCAGGCAGAGCATGGCTCCTGGGCTTGTCACATCTGTCCCCAGGCTGGCTCCCCATCCCAAATTGTGAGGGGCTCCTTGCCAAAAGGGATAGGAGTGTGCAATCCACAGGGATGTTCATCAGCACTCGCTGTACCCTAATTTAGGGCTCCTGGCACAGCCACTGGAGGGAAACTGGGCACTCTGGAGGGCAGTGTGGCACCTGGGATTGCTGCAGGAGTGTCCCTGCATCTGTGGGAGCCTGCAGAGAGCAGCCTCAGGTGGCTCCACCTGAGCACGGACACTCACTGGGCTGGAGGGTGTCAGGGGCACTGGGGACTGCTCAGGTTCACCACCTATGGCTCTCTCTAGAATATTTCAGTCTCCAGCTGTCTCAGCAACTTCTCTGTCAAACTGGCAGCAGCTCACAGAAACAGGATTTTCAAGGCTACTGGATGGGCTGCCAGGCAGGAGGCACTGGAATTGCCAGGGGACTGGAATATATACATTCCAGTATATATTTGACATTTATTTATGTATATTATATATATATAAAAAAATATAGAATATATATATATACTATATATATAGTATATATATAGTAAATATATAGTATATAGTATACTACATATATTTACTATATATTTACTATATATATAGTAAATATATAGTATATATACTATATATATTTTACAGTATATATTACAGTATATTATCCAGTATATATTTTACATTTACATATTATCCATTTTTTCTTAATCACAGAAAATTCTTCACTTTTTTTAGGGTTTTTTTTTTCCAGAGAAAACCATTTTATAATTTTAAACTGTTTTGTTAAAAACCCTAGGAGTCCAGGTTGGGTTGAGCCCAGGCTCACAGGCACACATTAACATCACACCACGAGGCAGCTGCCCAGGAGTTTGTCACTCACATTTTCTCTGCCCTCAGTCACACTGTGAAGCCTTTCCCCATTGCCTGAGCCATGTGCAGACATCTCTGGTCACATCAGCAGGACGCAGCTGCTCAGAGCCAGGGGTGGCACTGGCTGGGGCTCAGCTGTGACACAGAACATCCCCCAGGACATTCCCCAAAATCCCAGCAGGTCACACAGCAAAGACACTGCAGGCTTGAAACAAAAGTTTCTCATGGCTGTCCTTGCCAAATATTTGCACCCCAAAGATGAGAGGAAAGGAAAAAATCGATTTGTTTTGCACTAGGCTTTGGGTTAAAAAGAAGTGGGAGTGGGATTTAGATCACAAAACACTGTGGTAGATTTTAATTCATAAAATCCTTTGATTACCAAGATGAAAACTAAAACCATGTCTCAGCATGAAACTGCTCTCAAGCAGAGCCCTCTTCAAAGGGGAACTGGTTAGCTGCTCCAGAAGGTTCCATGCTGTTTCACTCATACTTGATTTGCAACACACTTCACTGAATAGGTCTAGGTTACAAATGAAATACTATTTGAAAAATAACTTTTCCTAGCATTTGCCAAGTTGTACTGTGGTGTAAACAATTCAACAATTCAACGATCAACTGCTCCTACTCCTGGAGTATTTTTACCCATAAAGGCAAACCTACCTCCATCATCTCCTTGGTGCTCACACAGTGGCATAGCAAGAGCATCAGGGACTTAGCAAAGCAAATAATCCATTCTAGAGAGCATTTATGGCAGGGAAATATCCATCCACAGCTTTGGCCTCCTCACAGGCAGGATGGAAACAGCTGTGCTCGCATGGCAGGTGTGCTCATAACAGCCCAGCTCCACACCAGGGCTGTGCTGCTGGCTCAGCCCATGGCCGTGTGTCCTTGCTGCAGTGCCAGAGCAGCTCTCCAGCCCTTACCTGTCAGAATGACTTCATCTCCATCCTGCAGGAACTTCCGACACTGCCCACTGCCGAGAGGGATTTCTTTTGTGCCATTCCAGGACAGCTCCAGCATGGAGCCAAAGCTCTCTGGCTCCTGCAGAAAGAGTTCAGAAACAAATAAACAATGTTTTAGTGTCTTTCCTGCTGTTCAGCTTCTTGCTGCTGGGAGCAGACACACAATGTTACCTCTACAGGACAGAGTTTTGCTGTTGAATTAATTCATTGATGCATTGGGTCCTTTTCCTGACTTTGCATTTTATTTTCTTGCTGGCTATTAGCAATGATGCTTACAGCTGTTATCTGGTGTATTTAACATAGTGTTCAACCTGTAAAAGCAGTTTGGGTCTGCCACAGCAAGAATGGAAAGAAGTGGAGGAGATTTCTACAAATCCAGTGCTTTTCTGTAATCACTTTCAGATTTTTAATTGCATTTTGTTCTTCAGAAGAGCAAAGCTCTTTGTGAGTCTTTAATGTCTTCTGCTGTACAATAATGTGAAGATTCAAAAAGCACCTCAGAAATGCTCAAAAGTGAACTACAGGCATCCCAGCTTGCAAACAACCTACCTGAGGCTGTCTTTGAGACAGCATGTACAGGATTTGTGTTTGGTGGTTCAGAAAGTGAGGGCTGCCCATTTTTTGCAGCCCCAGTCCAAATGGCAGCTCAAGGGGAGTAAAAGCTTGTGAAGCTGGCTCCAGCTTCATTGGAGAAACTAAAAGTTATACCCAGGCATCTTTTACATTCTTTTCGGAAATAAAAAGCTGCATTTCATAGAGGGCAAATGGATTGTGAGGATGCTTCCACACAGAAGTTATTTTGCATCTGTTGTAAAATAGTCAGAGAAACAAGTACAGGAGAGATCAAAACCCCAAAACTCAACAACATAATAAAACCAGCCAAGCAGAAACCCTACCCAAACCAAACCCCTTCTCAGTGTGAATCTGGGGCTACCAAAGCAGCACCCCAGAGTGCCTGGGAGAGAGCTGCAGATGGGTTTGTGGTGCTCAGGTCAGGAAGGGCTCAGCCCCAAGCCCTGCTCTGCTGGCTCTGGGTTGCTGACCAGTGATTGTCGTGGTTCCAACACTTACAGGTCCACTGATGGTGCCAGAGGCCAGCAGGTCTCCAGGCCTGAGGTTGCAGCCATTGATGGAATGATGAGCCAGCTGCTGCTTCATGGTCCAGTACATGTGCTGGAGGAAGGAGGAACAGGGGCTGAAGCAAGGAGGCAACAAAGGACAAACTTCTCTGGTGGCCATTAGGCTGTGCAGAGTGGAGGCATGCGCCTATGGCATTCATAAACCCCACACTTTAACATGCAATTTAGTCCCTTAAAATTTTTTCACAGACATCTTTTATGAAAAATCCTTTCTTTAGTATTTTCATCTCCTGAGAAGCTGAGAGGCCTCAGGAACAAAATGTAAACATTGATTATCTGCTGCTGTGGAATGCAACAGGTGGATCTGTGATTGGTCTCATGTGGTTGTTTCTAATTAATGGCCAATCACAGTCAGCTGGCTCGGACTCTCTGTCCGAGCCACAAACCCTTGTTATTCATTCTTTCTTTTTCTATTCTTAGCTGGCCTTCTGATGAAATCCTTTCTTCTATTCTTTTAGTATAGTTTTAATATAATATATATAATAAAATAATAAATCAAGCCTTCTGAAACATGGAGTCAGATCCTCGTCTCTTCCCTCTTCCTCAGACCCCTGTGAACACGGTCACAAAATTTTTCTTATTTCAGCTGGATTTAATTTTTCCTTTTCTTCCCCTCTAAGGCCAGTACTGCTGACCCAAGCTCCATGATTACACCCAGTATTTTAACAGCCTTGTAGAAAAATCTACTTATTACTGATTTGCTGACTACTGATTTACTGATTAAGGTAATTACTATGCAAAGAGCCAAATGTGAATATGAAATGGATTGAGAACTGCTGCAGCTGGCACATAAATCTCCTGGTTTCAATCAGGGGGTGGAGGCAGAGCCACAGAGGGGATGGGGCAGACCCAGGCTCAGGCTGGCAGCAGTGAGTGGCATCCAAATCAGAGCTGTGGCTGCAGAGCTGCATTGCAAGAGACAACTACCTGCCAAATGCACAGAGCTTAGGATGCTCTGAGCACCCCAAACTGAGCAGCAGGCAGAGCTGCCCCCTTCACCAAGCATTCAGGTGTTCCCACCTCACAGGGGGGAACCATCACCATCTTAATTTCATCTTTCAAAAATGTTTTTCATTTTTAGAAAATTTTGGACTGCTCAGGGAGGTGGTGGATTCACCATACCTGGACGTGTTCAAAAGGTGTGTGGGTGTGAGGGATGTGGTTTAGTCATGGGCTTGGCAGTCCTGGGTTCATATTCGGACTCAATGATCTTGGAGGTCTTTTCCAACCTTAGTGGTTCTATGATCCTGTTCTATGAGTCTAATGCAAAAAGCAGGGTTTGAAATTGCCTGGGCTGGAGCTGATGGCATCAGCAAGATTGCAAATAAACAAAAGATACTGGAGCCTTACCTTGAAATTGGATCTGCATATAGTAGCTGGCGTGCTCATTCCTTCTCCTGCAGAAAATAAAGGATAAAAAAGAGAGAAGCAATTTGTTTGTGTTGGATGAATGATGTCGGAGTCTTTTTATTTTACAGATGAATGGAGACTTCTTTTATCACTGTAATCCCTAGTGAGAGAGCAGTAATAACATTTTCTATTGCTATGAAGACTGGGATTTCATAGAAAACAAGTGTGTGGGTTGCACTGGAGCAGCATCAAGCTGCCCATTTCCCACCCTCTGCTCTCCTGTGGGAGAAACACCTGGACCAAGTGGTCAGCAGGGCCCTAGGGTGGGGGCTGAGCTGGGTTAACATCTGGATCCCCCAAAATCTGCTGATTCCATGCCCTGGTGAGCCCTGGCTGTGCAGGGAGGCCCCTCAGGGACCCTCAAGGGGAGCACTCCCTGCCTGGCACAGTGCTGCACAGCCAGCAGGGAGCAGAGCAGCTCTGCCCCTTTCCCTGGGCAAAGCAGAAGAAGAAGGAGCACACAAAATTTAATTGGCAACCGCAGCTTTGCAACCCACTCAGCTTTGCCATACCTTTAATGGCAACAAAGAGCTTGATGTCAAAAGTGTAGGGCTCTTTATCCTGAAGGTAGGGCAGCGGCTTGGGATCCTAAAGGAACATCAAACACATCATAAACCAAAAGGAATTTAACAATCCACAAGACATTCCAGTGAGTGTTGGTGTACCCAGCCTGTGCTGCACAACCCGTTCACTTCACCATTCTTGCTGCTCAGATTATCACTTTTCTTTGGTCTCGTGCACACACTTTTAAAGATCTTTCTGAACAGACATGATATCCATGTAATCCAATTCCTTTTTCTGCACAAGGTTTGCAAAAGCCATGCCCATCATTTCATTGTGGATGTTAATCCAGCACAAACAGAGTGCCAGCACTCCTTTGCTCTCTGCCTGCACAAAGATGGTGAGGTCTCTGCAAGACTCTGTTATCTATTCCAGTTTTAACCACCTGCACAATGCAGACAACTGGAAATGCTTGAACAAAGTGCTCTGGCTTGACTCCAGCCTCTCTCCGCCACTTGCTGCTACCAAAGACCCAGAAGAAGCTCTGATTAGTTTATTTTCCAGGTGTTTTAAAGATGATTTTTCTGCCCCCCTCAAGCAGAATGACAGCACAACACGTGCCAGGGCCAGTGACATCAATGCACTTGGACTCAGAGGGCCCTGGTTGCCTTCATCTGCTCAGAAGCAGAATCCCAGCTGTGAATTCCATGGAGACAATCCTTGGCATGGAGGCAGCTCAGTGAATTCTGCTGATGCCACCTTCCAGCTCTGCTGACATTTTCCCAGCACTGCTTTTCCTTTATTTCAACCTTTTCTCTTGCTGACCTGCACGGGGTTTGGCAGCACAAATGGCATGAGAGCTTCCATGGTGACAACCCAGGGAGAGATGGTTGTGCCAAGGCTTTTGCTCAGGAAGGGACCCAGAGGAACATATTCCCACTTCTGGATGTCACGGGCTGGGAAAAGAACATTCAAAGCAATGCAGGTAAATATATCCTGGCAATTGCACATCCATCAGACCAATGAAAGAGTAACATGAATTGAAATTGCTACCCCCAGCCATTTCCAGCTGTTGTGCTCAAATCCTAATTTAAATCCATCCATTTTCAACCCAATTTTCTTAGATCAGCTAGATTAGGATGATAAATCAGCAATGAGTAAAACAAACCAGATCATCCCCATATAACCAGTATTTTTACCCCTACTTTAATTTTTTATAATTTATAATATTTATAATAAATATATATAAAATTTATTATAAATAATTAATAATATATAAATTATACAAATAAATTTATAATAGTCCTTTTATACCCAGCTAATGGTCTTTGCCAGCCATAGGGATAATTTCAACAAGTTAAATCTTTGCAGAGACTGAGGGATTTGTGATTGCCAAACTTCCTTTTCCTTACACTGAAATCAATCACCATCCTTGATATCACCATTGTTATGACTCCTCCATCCCTGCCCGGAAGGAACTAGACTGAAATTAGCCCTTTCATAAGTAAATAAATCTTCATTAGGCATCAGTTTCCGGTTCTACTAATTGATCAAAGATGAATTGATACAGGCAACGCTTCATTTTCTCCCCTTTCAGTGGCACCAGTGTTTTCAGTGCTCAGTTCTGCTATCAGAATATGGAATTTGTGCCTCTCTGGGGTTTCCCGTGGTGCTGCGCTCACCGCTCCAGTCGTTCATCAGCACCATCCCAAAGATGTGCTCCTGGGCCCTGCTGATGGGAATGGGCTCCCCAAACTTGTTTCCAGGACCTACAAAGAACGCCTGAAATAAAAAATAAATAAAAAAATAAAAAAGCAATGTGTTGATTATGTTTTTGGAGTTAGAAATTTTTACTGCACAGAGAATTATGGAACTGCAGCAACAGAGGCTGGACAGGATGAGTTTTGCACCATTTCCCACACACATTTGGACAAAACCCATGGCCTGCTCCCCTTTTCTTCCCCTCCATGAAGCTGGCAGGCTTGAATTACTTAAGAGCTCTGTGTTGCTAAGAGACAGGAATTAAACAAGGGCACGATGTTGTCAAAACGCAGGAGGAAAAAATGGTCCCTCCTAATTGGAGGCCGGATGCAGAACAGGTTTGCCCACTGAAGGGCTGATTGCTGCAGACAGGGAACAGGAAGGAGTTTAAAGTCATCCAGGGGGATGCTGAATGTGGCTGGAGCCTGATGAGACAGTGGGGAAAAACAGGTGGAGAAATGTGCCCACCAAGTAAAGCAGGCCATGAACTGGGTGCCTGCACTCATTCCCTTAGAAAACCACAGCCTGCACATGCAGAGGATTTTATAGGAAAACTCAGCTGTCTCTTTCTGTCTACAATGTGGAAGTTTTCCCTTCTGTTCTTGCAGCAGCCAGCAGCAGAGCTCAGGCTGGAAGGCAGAGCCATGGCAGCACCATGGGAACCCCACTTTGTGGGGCTGCATCTCCCCTGACAGCATTAAAGAGTTTCACCACATTTTTATAACCATTTCCATCAATATTACACTTCTTCCAGTACTTTTTAAAAAGGGATTGGGAATAAAACATACAAAAATTATATAAGCTATTAAAATGATATAAATCTTAATAGAATCCCATGGAACCCTCCCTTCTGGACCACACTAAGCCACAGCATGATGTGCCTTCCCACCATGTTTTTTTACAACACCCACAGCACAGGTTTTAACTTTCCAGGCAGGAAAATCAGGAGTTTGAATCCCACTGCCAAGAACTCAGGGTTTCCTCTGCTCCAGCACAAGGTGCAGACAGCCTGGACTGCAAACCCCAGTGTCCATTGATGGATCCTGGCTTCAGAGGTAACTGCTGACCAGGAAATAGGCTGTGGTGGCTGTGGAAAAGAATTCTGCTGCCTGACTGCACCACTGGTGCTCAGCTTTGGCCAGGTGAGCTTTTTCCAGCCTGAGAGCTGTGTGAGCAAACCTCCCAGTGAGCTAAGGCACCCTGCTCCTCACCCAAAGCAAAGGTTTGTGCCACAGAAATCCTTACTGCCTGCAGCACTGACAGCTCAGAGAGGAACACGGGACTGTAAATACGGGACATTCAATTTAGAAGAAGCTAAATCCACCCTTTCTTCCCTGTTTTAATATATTTGAAGTCATAAGGAGAAAAAAGCCTCTCACCATTTCTAACTCGATATCCAGACGCTTACAAGCACCAAACACTGGAGGTTTATCTGTGGGTAGAAGCAAGAATATATCACAAAAGGGAGGCAGCCAGGGAAATAGAAATAATGGCCAAAAAGAAACAGCAGCTGGTGCTGCTTGGCAAGGAACAGAAAATGGACTTAAACCAGGGTTTTCTCTTGCCCTGACCCCAGGCTAGGCTTTAGGCAAGGCATCCCAGACCCCTCCACTCCACTACTCTATGATGTGGAGCTAAATTACAGGATAAAAGAAATAAGAATCCAGATTAAAATGCCCCCAGAACTCACCATTGTCAGGTTTTGTTTGTCCCACAGGTCTCCTGATGGGCGTCCCAGACACCACAACAGACGATGCCCGGCCGTGGTAACCCACAGGTAAATGCAGCCTTGAGAAAGAGCACAGGCCTGGGTTAGCTGGGTGCCAGAGCAGCTTTTGGGGTGGAAGCACCACGGGAGTGTGGGGTACAAGGAGAAGGAAGGAGCTCTGCATGCATGTGCACAGACCTCAGCACATTACTCTGATATAAGGATGGAAGCTAAATATAATATAATAACAAAGCCTTGCTGCAGTCTTAGTGCACTGCTGTGCCACTGCTCCAATTAATTTCTTGGATCTTAAATTCTGCTCTCTTGTCACTCAGCAAAACCTAATTTTTTAGGTATATCTGTCTTTGAACTGGGAGGCTGCACAGTAACTGGTGTGGCCCCTGCAATGAAGGGCAGTGCAGATTCAGCTGAGGCTGGGGATGTGTAGAATTTGGTTCTGATATTGAACCCTGGACAACACTGCTTCTCATCTGCTATGAACTGAAACCAGTGTGATCCTGAAAAACTACTCAGACCTTTAAAACATCTTACATATATAAGGATAAGCCTGCAAAATAATGCTGCACTAGGGAACAATCCAAGGCACCCACCAGTTCGGCATCAGAGCATTCTCCTTCCCCCTGAACATGATCCCAACGTTTGTGGCATGCTGGCGCGAGGAATAGAAGTCAGTGTAATCTCCTGCATGGGGAAAGAAGCCATAAAACAGGGATCAGTGGCAGCCAAGGCCCTCACCTGTGGGGGCTGAAGCACCTCACCCACTGCTGGGGATGGAGGGAGCAGAGAAGGAGACAGCGGGAGTGCTCGGGTGTCACAGACATCTTTTATGAAAAATCTTTTTTTCAAAGATTTTTCCTCCTGAGAAGCTGAGAAGCCTTAGGAACAAAATGTAAATAATGGTTATCTGCTGCTGTGGAATGCAACAGGTAGATCTGTGATTAACCCACGTTAGTTGTTTCTAATTAATGGCCAATCACAGTCAGCTGGCTTGGACAGAGAGTCCGAGCCATAACCTTTGTTATCATTCTTTCCTGTTCTATTCTTAGCTAGCCTTCTGAGGAAATCCTTTCTTCTATTCTTTCAGTATAGTTTTAATGTAATATATATCATAAAATAATAAATCAAGCCTTCTGAAACATGGAGTCAGATCCTCATCTCTTCCCTCATCCTCGGACCCCTGTGAGCACTGTCACACTCGGGGATGTCAGTGATAGCATAAAGGGGTGATTAACGGTTCACCTATACATTATGCAGACAAAAATGGCTTTTTTATTTTTTAAATCCCCAGTAGAGTAGAGGAGGGGAAAGGCAGGACATAAAGCAGCAGCCCCCTTTCCATAGTGAAGCTGCTTTCCCTGCAGCCGGCGGTAGCAGCGCAGGGACCCGGGCGATACTCAGGACATCTGCTGCCCTCTGCTGCCATCCCTGCAAACAGCTCCCACTCCTGAGCCACGGGAAAACACAGCAATGAGGGGAAAACACCGTCTGGGAGGCTGTATTTGCATAATCTTGATCAGGGAGCTCCAGGTGCATCCAGCAGTGAGTTATCCCCTGCAGTTCAGCCTCCCAGAGGGGGACCCAGCCAGCCAGGAGAGGCAGGAACCACACACAGGACAGAGCTGCATCTAAGGGCTGTGGGTATATTTAGGGAATCCTGAATATGCCTCATTTCTGTGGGATGCAGCTCAGTCACACCAGGGCAGTCCATTCCCAGCAGCCGTGGGAGCCAGGAACCAGCAATTGTCTGACAGGGCATGTTCAACATGAAACTATTTTCAGGAACTCCTCATGGTTCCTCTGGGACATGCTAGACTTTGTCCCAAACCAGGGCTGTGCCCCCAAGAAGGCAAAAGCCAGCTCAGAACTGAGCTTGGATAGAAAATGGGCAAGTTCACATCCCTGTTCCTGTGCAGGTCATGCCCTCAAGTGACTTTGGTCAGGTTGGTTTGGGTCCAAACACAAACTCCTGCTAAAATCAGGAAATGTTCATGTATCTATATGAATATAGGAATCCCAAAGCAGTCCTCACAGGAGTGGAGGCAAGATCTGGGATGCAGAGTGGAAACTCAGACTTGTTCATGAGGCTGTGCCAGAATATCTGCCTTGGAAACTTTGCAACATCTGAAATATTTTCTGATGGCAAAAGGGGAAATTGTTGGAAACTGAACAAGTGTTTCTTTCCTGGCTCTAGTCACAAAGGCCTGTGGTGATGCCAAGCTGATGATAGGAGTTATGTACCACCAGACACCACTGATTTAGTGGAAATTGCATCCAGGAGTGTTCTGGCTGCTATTGAGCTTCCCCAGGCTTTTATTCTTGTGCCACAGACAGCACCTAGCTTTCATTATGTGCAATAATCTCCTTGTGGCTGCTGCAGAGCCCATTCCCTGTCACAGCTGTGATGTGTCTGTCTGGGGCAGCTGGAAATGAAGCAGCTGCTCCTGTGGGAGCTCAGGGCAGTGCCCAGGAGCCCCTGGCTGCCCCCACACTCACCAATGTGCGCAGGCAGGTGCATCGTCGCAGCAGCTTGAGGCACAAATGCCCTGAAATGAAAAATGATGCCTTCAGATCTCGGAAAACTTGCAGCTCCCATCCCTAAGAAGGGGGACTTGCTCTCCCAGTTCCTTCCTTAATTTAGTTTGCAAAAAAACTAAAAAATAATAAACTGGCAGAAAAGCTGGTGACTGCCCAGGCTGCTGTTCCTGGAAGCAGCTGCCAGGGGCTGAGTGAGAAGGGGGCAGCCCTGGATTCCCGAGGGGCACAGAGAAATCCCAAAGCCCTGCCCAGGACAGCACTGCCTCTGCTGCGTAGGAAGGATGAGCTCATGGCTCTTGAGGGTCTGATTCCAACTGCTGGCCCTGCTCATGTGGCAAGCAGCAGCTCAACCCCTAAAATCCTAAATCCTGCCTAATTCTGGCAGGACAGGGAGGAACAATTCCTGCTCACTGCCAGGGCAGGTATTGTGGTGCCTAAAGCATCACTCCAGACAAAGGGGAGGTGTGGGCTTGATGGACACCCACATTTTCCATCAGCACAGAACAGAGCAGAGTCTCCTGTCCCTACACCACTGCACAGCCCCAAAGCTGAAGCCAATTTGTGACCACATGCTCAGTTTTAGCAAAGTCAAGTAGCAAAGTCACTGAGGACAAACTGGGGATGTCCCTTTCCTGCTCCAGGTGTGACAGGCAGGTGGGAGAGGTGGAGACCCTTGAACCGTGTCTGCCTGGAAGGAGTGGGGTGGCCAGAGCACCAGCCCAGCCCCACAGAGAGGCAGCAGCAGCAGCTCTGGACACACCCAGGGCAGAGCTGGCTGTTCCCAGGAGCAGGGTGACACCCTGGATCTGCGGGCAGTCACGGGATTAATCAGAGATTAATCTTTGGGTAATTAAGAGAAGGAAGCACTGGATGTGACCAAACCCCAGTTCATTCCCACGCAGGTGGCCACGTCACAGTGTTGGTTTTGGTGTGCTGTCACTCAGGTGACACAGGGCACAGCTGCCACCTCCCCGTGCCACTCTGTGCTCCCTCACCTCCTCCTCAGCTCCGTGTTGTCCCTCAGGGTGGGCTCTGCAGCTGACAGCAGCTTCTGCAGCAGCGCCCTGGCCTCGCTCCACGCCGGCCAGCCCAGCCCCATGAAGGCATTCAGGGTGGGCTGGCAGTGACACACAGGGGCAGGGACAGAGAAAAAATCACATTTTACTTATCCTTCACTGCAGGAAGATGTCCCACACTCCCATCCCAGTGCTGGATGCCCGTGCCCAGGGTTATGGGGCTGTGGCTGCCCAGAGCACCCATCCCCTGCCCATGGCTGCCCACATCCCCATCACACCCCACAAGTCCTCTGCAGCAGGACCTGCTGCATGCTGGCATCACCCATCCTTACACACCACTGCAGGCCCTGCTGGATTTGATATCTCAGCCAGCTCTAGACAGAGGTTTTTCATATTTATCCTTTACACAACCTCCCTGTCATTAATACCCCACCCATCGAGTGCTGAGGGCATAAGCAGGAGTGAATTAACATTTAGGCTTCAGACATCTGCATTACCAAAGGATGATGACTCTTTCCTGGAAAATGACCTTTGGACACCCCAATGCCCCTGCTGTCCTTGCTGTCACACCTGTGATGGTTTTTGCTCTACCAGAACCTGCCTGACAACATATTTCCAGTTCATGTTCTTTATCTTCTCACCACAAGCTGCTAAAGTGCCTTATGGAATATTTGTTAAATGCTTGTGGAAATTAGAACAGACTCTGATAAATACCTGGTCAAAGACATGCTGGTGTTTGGCAAGAGCTGGTCCATTGAAAAGGTGTTTGATGATGCTGAGATCCAAAATCTGGTCCCCAATAGCTACCCCAATCCTGTGCCGAGGCTGCAAAGCAGCAAGAGGAGGGGGGAAGAGAGGAAAAGTTTATGCTTGTAGCCAAAAATGCCCCAAAGAGGGCGTAGGGGGAGACAGTGACCACAGAGAGTCCAGGACAAAGGTCTGGTACCACAGCAATGAACCTTCAAGAGCCATCTGAGTCTGGCTGCTGAAAAAGGTTAAGCCCTATGGGCAGAGCATCACTGCAGACTCCCTGCAGACCTTGAGGGTGGAAAAGAGCCTCATCCCCATCTTTTGGGGAAAGAATAGCACAACAAGCAGAGGTTTCTCTCCCTGCCCTCTTTGCCCTAGAAGGAGGCTGACTTGCTCATTACCACCCCTCATTAACAACAAGCATTGCAGAATAAGCCCATACATCTGCAGTATGCTGGGAAGAGGGAAAACACTCCTGCTCCTCCTGCCAGTGGGGAACAGAGGTATAGAGAGGCCATGGGCAGGGTGAATTCCATCCCTGTGGGCATGCCATTGGAGAAACAGCCATTTCTGCAGCCCAGCTCCTCCCCAGAGGACTGAGGGTGCTCTGGGGGTGCCAGGGGACGCACCATGCCCAGGCACATGGTTTCTGTGCCTCGCTGGACGAGGCTGCCCTACCCTGCACCATCCATCCTCACAGCACACCAGGAGCTCAGGAGCAGCACACCGAGCCCAGGCTGGATCCTGGCTGCAGGAACAGCATCCCACACATGGGAAATGGCACAGATGCAGCCCAGGAGACAAAGCTCCTGTTCATGGCCCGGGCCGTGCGGAGCCAGCGGCGACAGACCCAGGGCAGCTGCACGGGGCAGAAACACACCACAGCCTCCATCATTGTGTCTCTGGGCAAAGAGAGACAAGCTATTACAGCCACTCTGAAAAGCAGCTCACCAAAATAACCATCTTCAAAGATGCATGCTATTAAACCTATTTTTCAACCTTTAATTTCCAAACAAGATTCCAAATGTGGTAGTAGGCACTTATTCAGCAAACATTCCTGCAGAAAAAAACTAAAGGTCATGTCAGGTTAATTTGTAACTGGGATAGTCAGGAATGACACCAATTGTTTTAGCCTGAAATGATTAAAACATTCAGCTACCGTCAGAACATTGTTCTCCTAAATAATTTCGGTAAGTCTTGCCTGTCATTTCTCAGGGTTTGAGTGAAGATGTCTTTTTCAGAGAACAGTTACTGAGGAAGGCAGAAAAATAATCCAAACTTGCTAGATAACAGCATGCACATCTTGGAATAGATTAAACACACCATCTCATTTTATCTTCAGAAAATACCACTTCAGAAAACACAATCTTCAGGTTATTTTATTTTTTTTAACCTACATGGATAACTAGCAGAAACCAGAAGATAATGATGAAGTTTCCATAAGCAATGACAAATAAATTCTCCACTTTTTCCTTCTGACAAGCAGCTCTTGGCTAGTTTTCCTTTCTCCAGGAGCTCCATCCTGTCAGGCACTCAGAGGTGTGAGGTTCAGCCTAGCTGGGCTCAGTTCTCATGAAAATTGGGAATTGAGAGCTACCTCCTTGGTAGAAAGGTTGAGTCACGTTTTCTTATGTGATCATTATAAAATAGAAGGCCTGGAGCTGGCTCAGCTGGCAGGCTTTGGGCCCAGCTTTAAACATGACACATTTGCACACACTTAATGCAGCATTACATAAACATACACCCAATAGAACACAATGGGTCAGCTGCAAAAACAGGTAAAACACATATTTGGTGTCCTGGTTTAATGCTTTGGCAGCCACCAGCAAAACTCCTCAAGAGCAGTAGTTAATGGGGTTTCTTAAGGGTCACGGTGTGAAGAGAATGAAAGACCAAGTTAAAAATTAAAAAATGGAGTGTGAAATGTACTGTGCCTCTACATAGGGAGTGGAAGGGTCAAACACAGAGTAAATGATGTCACAGAAATTATCAAAACCACACAAGAGCTACTGTACATATTAGCCAAAGTATTTCTCATCAGTATTACCACTTCTGATTTCTTTTGTGCAGTTTCAAAGAAGCTGTAATCAAAATAACCACACTAAGGAAACAGACAATGTGTCAACTATTGTGTCAACAGCTTTGCCATCAGGTCAGGAAGCCCATGAGTGTCTCAGGCTGGGAAATCTCCCTTTATCCCACATTGCTGGGAAATTCTGCTCTCCCATAGCCCTGGAACAATTACAACATCCCAAGAACAAAGTTTGCTGTTACTCACCTCCTCCTTCGTGGAGAAAACCCCATAGGGGAGGTTTTGGAGAGGAAAATCTGAGTCCTTGTCTACCTGGATGAAAGACATGCTGATCCCCGAGCAGCCCCTGCTTACACACAGCTCCCACCTCCCAGGTGCTTCACACCTTCCTCGGAGGAAGATCCTCTCCAGGTGCTGCAACCCAGAGCAGAGGAGCATCAAATCCCACCCTCTGTCCTCAGGCACAAACCAATCCCTGCTCCGTGGCCATCCCACCCCCTGCCCGGGCCCTGGCAGTGGTTAATCAGTGCCAGGGGTTGGCCTGAGTCAGCAGCTGGGAGCTGCTCCCAGCCAGGCAGTGACCCTGGTGAAGGGGGGTCCTCTCCTCACAGGTACTGCCCTGGGGGTATTTAGATGTGCAGATGTGGCACTGAATTTAGGGGTAGACTTGATGTTCTTGGAGGTCTCTTCCAGCCTTAACACTTTCATGATTTTACAAACTCTCACATGAAACTGAGGCCTTCCTGTAACAGGTAACTCGCTGAGGGTGAAGGATCCAGCAGCTCTAAACTGCCCTGGTTTCACTTTGGAGGGGTCATTTATGTGCCAGGGCCCTGGTGAAATGATTATGTCCACACTGATTCTCCCACCACAAGCTCAGCAGCCCTTGGGAAATTGCACAATTCACACCTGAAACTGCATCTTTTGTGGTTTTCAGTTTTGCAATGCTGCTGCACCTCGTCAAGTTCTTCCATTTTCTCCAGATAGTTCCACCACCTTAAAACCAGAGACATGTGCAGCCAACCAAAAAGAACAGGGAGGCTGGTGCCTCTGCTCCCAGTGCCAGCATTCTCCCACCTCCAGCACAAAATTCACTCATTGTCAGTAGAAGCCAATGAGGGAACATCCTTGAAATTAGAACTAAATAATAAAGGCCACATCTTTCCAATAAAAACAGGAAGACACTTGTGACAGCCAAGCCAAAGAACTGGATTGCTGCTCAACCTTTTTTTGTTTCTTTTTTGGCAGTCACTAGAAGAAATGCAGCAAATGGTACAGCCAGAGATTGTACAGTGGTACAGTGCAAGATGATATAACAGCATCATCTGTGACAGCTGCTCACTCACTGAGACACAAGCTCACAAGGTGCTGTTTGAAAAGGGGTCTTATTTAAACATCACAATGCCTAGCTTGTAGAAGATTTCCTGTAAAATTTCCCCTGACTGTTGGAAATGTTTTAAACACAGTGAAGAGGTTTTGTGGACAGACTATAGAATCTGGGCTGTAGAACCAGCTCATTCCAAAACTGAAACAAAACCACACTGAAAACCTGTTCCAGTACAGAGATCAACATGAGGAGACACCCAAGCATTTTGTAGTGCTGTGAATGTGCTGGTGTTAATTAAAATGTTAATCTGCTAACCTCAAGTTGATGACACAAAATACAGATTGAAGTGCAGATCAACCACCAGGATAATACAGGGCCATGCCAAAGCAAACAAACATGACACAATTCACAGGTGTCAGGAAAAGGTGGACACCCAGTCTAAATGTAAGCTTATACAACAGATAGGAAGTATGTGAATACTTTTCTTGTACCTTTCCCTCTTTCAGGCACCAGAACACACAAACATACCAGGTTTTCCCCCACCTTGTGAAATCTATGGCATGTTCTCTCTGCCTGGCCCAGAAACATCACTGTCATGTGAAAGGAAGATTGGTCAGGAGGGCACATAAGGAGAGAGAAAAGGAAAAGAGACCAGAAATAGGGAAGAGGGAGGACTCAAAGTGAGAAGGATTAGAGAATAGGGAAGTAGCAGCAGAAAGGAAAGCAAACAGAAACACCCACCAAAGATGACACTGCTGCTCTTCCATGCCCTGTGCTGTGTAAGAGGAAGTTTAGCAAATGCTTTGAGGAAATACAGGCTCTCTGACCCATGATAAGGCAGACCATTACTGAAACTTGCCAGTAAGTTATTTATTCCTTCCTTCCTTTACTCTAAGCTTCATGTGCCTCATAGATTGTGGTCAGGCCACTTCTGCAAGCACGAGCTACTTCATTTATTATTCAGTTTTGCAGATTACTTTCTGTTACCACCAGAGAAAGCTCCTTCTGCAGCACAGTTTATATCCTAAATGTAGTGTTTTATTTACTAATTGCCAGCCATAGCTTTTTTAAGAGCATTCTGAATTTTAAAATCAACAGACAAGGTCTGGAATCTGCAGTGTGTCTCTGGTAGTTACAGGTGCAGAGATTAAAAAAACACATCAAAATCTAGCTGTTGTTGGGATACATGTGGGAAGCTGTGAATAAATACACTTTAAGTAAAGGAACCATCAATGGAAGGTCCCCATTAAAATAAAGCAAGAGAAATCCAACTTACATATGCCAGTGACAGCCACAGGGGCTCGGATTTTTTTAAATTTTATTTAATCAAAGTTAAGACGTGGATAAACATAAATACAGCACAGGTACTTCAGATCATTCTTCATATTTGTGTACAGACAAACTGATGGATGTAATCCCAATGAAAACTGCAGTCAATGAAGTGCATACAGCCTTCCCCCCACACACACAAAAACAAACCCCAATTAAAAAAAAAAAGAAAACAAAAAACCCCACACAATCTCAGCACACACTCTCATTACAAATGATTCATACATAAATAGGTAGAGGGTGCAAACAAGCTAATATGCGAACATGTATAACCTCTCGTTAATGGGAAAAAAAAACCAGAAGCAGCCATAATGATTAAAATACATTCAGTTACTGATAACTAGTTGTGCCATACAAGGCATTATCAATAAAAAAAAAAAAGGAAATTGTGCTGCAGAGAAAAGCTATATACAACAAGAAAATAAACTGCAAAGTTAACGCATGCATGTTTTATCCTGGAAAAGCACAGCCCTCCAATGTTTTCTCCATGTTTGTTATAAAAGCCCTCTGCACTCAACTAAAATTAAAATGATCTTAAAGGATAATACTTGTAAAGTTTACTTAAGTCTTCAGCCACAGAAAACTGCAATGAAAATAATGTTCAGAGTCATTTTCAAAACAAAAAAAAAAAACCAAAAACAAAAAATCTATTCATCTGATGACATGCATGATTAAAAGGTCTAGGCAAGATACACTGCTCTACGTTCCTGATGACTAAGGAAAAAAGCTCAAGTCAATTTAATCTGCAGATGGTCAGAAGATTTTTGTGTTCCAGCAGAAGCAGCAGTTCAGATCTTCTGGATCTTTTCCCCAACAACTACAGGATTCTCTTTTCTGATTTTCTCAGCAGCATCAGCTTTGTAATTGTAAGAGCAACTGTGTACATCTGAGTAACGGTGCATTCCACAGTAAACGTTCCCACACCGGCACTCAAACCCTGTGGACACAAACAGCAGCTTAGACATTTCAACATTCCTGATGACACTGGTTTGCTTTAAATCCTGAATGTGTTCACTCACTAGCAGTAAATCTCAGTCACCAGTGTCAATCAATCAGCCAAAGAGCCTCTGCTGCAGAAAGCATAAGAATCACAAGTAATACATTTTTAAGTGATTACAGCAAGATTTGACTTGATCATTCCTTCTTTTTGCATGCCACTCTAGCACAGAACATTCCTAGAGAGCTCCTGCTCTTTTGCCATGTTTATGAACCTTCACCCTCCAGAACTCAGGCCCTTTCACTGGACCACTGCAAAGCTGGCTAGTGAATGGCAGCAAACTATCATCCAATTCCTTAGCTAAGTAGACTTCCAAAAGGAAGTACTGGAAATTATGAACTTCACTTTAAGACAGGAGGCTGAAAAACAAAATGATACATGAATGACTAATCTAGTGAGAGTCAGCTGAAAGCACCTTTGACTGTTATTTCAAATCAATATCAAATGACCATGCCCCATTTTCCCTTTAAGACAACATTTCAAAGGGCCAAAGCCTAAACAAGCCTAAGGAAAGTGAAATCAGTGTTTCTTACCAGTCAATCCAACCTTCTTCCTGCACATGAAACAACGATTCTTTTTCTGTTTTGGTTTGTCAAGCAACTTGTCCTGTTCTTCAGGTGTAGGCTCTGCATTCTCTGACACTGAAGCTGACATAAAAAAAAGTTAATAAGAACAGTGGAGAAAAGAGTCTGTCTCTCCCCTTTTAAGTCCTACAATGATCTAAAGCCCATGCTGTACATTTGGCCATTTTGCTGCAGTTTCCATGTCTGAAGTGCACTGGTGTCTCCACAGCAACTGGAATTCCCCCCCCTTCTAGACCTTCAATATAATTTAAGAAAAGAATTCACCAAATGCTTGAAAATACCACAAAAAACAATGAAAACAACAAACATAGGTTTAACAGCAAGATTCAGCACTGTCACATCCAGGAAGAAAATCCAACAGCCAAGTGTTTCCTCACAGTGTTACTTGCCCAGCTCCCAAAATCTGCTTACAAGAAGCACTCTATGTAACAGGATCAGTTGAGCCAAACACCCTCTTTCCAATCCTGAATCAACATTATTTTTGCAGAAGACTGCAACATGGAGGCCACACAAAACACAGTGTTTCAGAACAATCTCTAGCACTGTGATGCTGCTGCTCTTGCACACCTGGAAAAAGCCTACACAGGACATAAGTCACTGCCTGGGGTGAGAAACACCAGCTCAAGAGACCCAGACTTACAGGGTGGGACTACACTGTACTGAAGCTCAGAAAGGAGCAGGTAAAAACCTAATTTTAAAGATATTTCTCCTAAGGCATCTTTCAACCTACTTTAGTGTTCTCTAAAAGAAACAGGCTACAGGTTGTGTGGGAGAGTATGAACATGTAATAGTAGTATTTGCCTGAGTCAGGTAAAAATAGAAGTTGGCTGGTTTTCCTCAAGTATTTGCACATTCCTTACATTACAAAGCAGAAATAGAAATGAAAAAAACCCAACTTCATTTCAAGAAGGGCTAAGAGCCAACCTCTGCCTACCAGACATAGCTGGACCACAGCAGGACAAGTCTCCAGTGAGTAAGACACACAGAAGTTGGGAATATTTGCAGCAAAGAACAAAAGCAAGCTGCAGCTGGGAGGAGTGTGGATGGAAGCAGAGCTAGAACCAGTGTTGTAGGGAAGGGAATACAACAGCAAGCTCAGACATTTGTCAGGGAAAAAGCTGCAGGCATCTCTGTGCAGCTGGACTTTTGTTTGTCAGAGACTGTCAGATGCAGTTCTGTGCTAGCTCTTCACCAGCTGACAGCTCTTCTGCATGACAAATCCAGTGGGGTTTTTCATGTGCTGCTATTCTGATCTTTTTTTTTCTTTTGAAAGGAAAGGGCACTCATCACTTTTGCTATGTATCAAAACATTGTACTAAGCAACATCAATGGGTAGCAAGATACCTGATCACCAGCAAAGACTCTGCCTGAGGGGACAGTATATTCCACAGATTAATCTAGCAAAGATACTATTATACATGGTCTATTAATTCCTTCTCAGACACCATCTATGTTACATGCAGAGCTTCTCTTTGTCCTGAAATCTATAACAATTCATAGTTTACAAAGGAAAAAAAAGTTCAATGCCTTTAAATGGCTGTTAAAGGGCACATTTCTGAGTGGGCATAATATCAAAAGGACTGCAAGATGAGAACCAAAATCAGCAAGGACTACAAGTGGTGAGGTAAGTACCAGAAGGGGTAAGACTTACTCAAATGAACTTTTGTACTTCTACACAAAACAGTATTGCAGTCTTTATTAATTCATTAAGACATATTCATGCCATGAGCTAACATTCTCCAGCTTGCATTTCCTGTTATTACAAAATCAGTTACCTCAATCTAAGTTTCACTAAGAGCCTCTGTAACTATTAGCTAAATTTAGGAAAAACTGGCACTCTTCCCTGCATAACAAGGCTCTCATACACCCTTACTTACATTTTCTTTGTGCGTATGGCTCTCACATTAAAAAGGTTTAAAAATATTTAAGAGCTGCTGCTCAGTGTGGAACCGAGTGGGAAGATTCTTCTGCATCACAAGTCACTTTGTATCTACTGTAGTAACCATAAATTTTAGGTCTCAGTTTGCTTTTGAATAGAAGCTAGAGATTTGAACCAAAATCCTCTATGATAATCACAAATATCCCAACCACTTTGTATGCCCAAGTGCCACTGTTCAGTCTATGAGCTCCCTGTGATGACCACAGCAGAACAAAGCCAGCTAAGATGCAATACTGTCCAGCTTGGAGCCACTCCCAACTGCTGGACTTCACCTGGATTCCAGGATGCTCTGCCTGCCTTCCTTGAACCAAATCATCCCTTTCCCCAGCCCTGTCCTGTAACCAAAGAACAGAAGCCTTGGCAGCAGCAGTACAAGCTGCCAACCAACCAAAAAGGAGTAAGGTATGAACACAGCCATATTTCTGGAGCTGACAAGCTGGGCTGCTCACTAGAAGTTCCCTGATTTACACAACATGTTCCTAGGTGATCAAAACAAGCAGAGCCTGGATTTCCTCCTAAAGGCACGAGCTTTTCCTATTGCTTTGCTTGTGCAAACCCCCACCTGAGCTTCAGTGTGCTCTGACTGAGCACAAACACTGACAAAATGCACTCCAGCCTCTGCACCCCTGCAGGCACAGCACAGCTCTGTGTGCAGCAAGACACCCATCCTGCTCTCTCCATGTTTTACATTCATCACCCCTGCATTACTGGGCAGAGATTTTAAAAGGAAAAGGTTTCTCATTCCTACAGAAAATCATGAACAGCTACATTTACTTCTTAAGAGCATTTCACTAGGGCTAGTGTAAGAAGCACCCCCACACTTCCAGAGGAGTGAAAAGTGAAGTTAATCCAAAGGAGAACATCACTGCTTGTGAACATTTTAAACTGACATAATCAGCCTAAAATAAACTGTTTAAATGTTAGGAAGTGGCAAATTAAGTAGGAGCACATTCACCCACAGAATTTAGTTTTAAATCTTTCTGTTGAGTGTTTCCTCTCCCCTTGGAGCATTCACCCAGTATATCATGATATCCTGTATTATTTGATACACTTGTGTCATAATCATACTCTACCTCTGAGTGCCTGGTACTATCACAGAAGTGAAAAGCATCCATCAATTCCTTTCCACTTCTGTCTACTGAGCCCATCCTGATAAGGTCCACTGAAGCTGAAGCCATCAGCTCAACTGCATTCACCTTAGGTCCTAGTAACCCCAATATAAAATTCTGTAGCAAGCTAATTATTTTAATCTCAAGTTTTTTAAACTTAGTTTGAACTTCACTATTTAACCTCACTGAAATCCAGATATGCACAAAATCAGGTGACTTCATTCAGATCAGCCATGTACCTTTTAGACAGTTAATCCAATCTAACTTTGTACTTTGGTTTTCCAAATAACAACCACACCACATGACGTGAGTGATGGCATTTTGCAATGCTAACAGCACAAGCTTCTCTCCAATCCACAACAAGCTTGATAACCACAGAGGCTGTTTTCATTCTCAGAAGTTTTCAGCCTGAGAGGGGCTGAGTCCACCCATTAGTTGGATTTCTGCTTTTACCACCATGTTCCTCAGTTGTAGGAGCTTCATAATGTTTGTGGTGGAGTCCTCCTGCCTTCCCTGCCAAGCTTCATTTACCTTTAAAATCCTCCCTGAACCAAAAGCATGAACCCTAACCAAGATGGTTTTAATCCCTCTTCCTTTACCCCAGGGAAGTGAAGCACCTCTTTACCTGCTTGCAGGCTTGCCTGGAGGCAGCCCTGGCTAACAAATCAGAAATCCTGACTGGCTAATCCTAGCAAGGATTATTATGTTGATCATCATCTTGAGCAAAAGGCACAATAGCCCAGGAGGTAATTAAAATTACTTGGAATAGAAGAAAGCTGTTAGAAAAGCTGGACTGTACTTCATGCCATTAAACATTACCTAAAATGAAATTCATTTTCATGGTATTTAAGAACATTAAAGTTAAAAATTTTTTATTAGTCCCTATCTTAGAGCATCTGGCCTTTTGCACTGCTCCACAAGCATCATCATACAAACACTAGCTCTAAAGCCTACGCTTTTTAACATTCTGGAGTTTTCCTCTATTTCTTCTGCAATGCATAAATCCAACAAAAACAAAACTGAAATGCTCTTTGGGAATTTTATCCCTTTGTAGTTTTAGCTTGACTGCAAACAGCAAGAGCTGTGTTGCACGCAGCTCAAGTCTCATTTATCTGTCTGCTTTAGAAAAGTAATAATAGTAATCTAAGAAAGCTTAATTATTCACCCAGTCCTTCATTCAATGTTGTTGCAGCCTGGTAATTTTTGTTAAATGGCAAGTTAAGGGGACCTCAGCTCAACACAATACATTAACTTACAGCAGCAGCACAGAACAACTCACCCCAGAACAGACATTCCCACAAGGCAAGACTTTATCAAAATAAATACTGACATTATTTCTCCTGTTCCCCTACATCAACAAAAGCACTATTACACACTCTTCACTTTGGGACCAACTAGCACATTGCTATGAAATTATTGGTTTTTTTCTAAATGTTAGAAACTTAGGCAATGCTAAAAAAACCCCTTGGATTCACATGCTTGTAGTACATGCATGTCACCAACCTAAAATTCAAATTCCAAAAAAAAGCAATTCAATGAAATCCCTCTCAGCATCCATTCCAAGCTGCTTTCCTTCCTTCCTTACATTTTCAAATTAAAATGCTTTAAAACTGGAAACACTACATTTCCCATGATTTCAGTCAAGGGACAACACAGAAGGAACTCTTAAGGAAGTAAGGCTGACCCTGCCAGAGTTATAAATAGGGATGGTAATTTAGAACTGTAACTACATGCTGGTGATGTTCTTAGTTTAGAAATGAGGGTACAAAGAAAAGGACAGAGGACACAGCTGAGTAACCTAAACACCTGATATATGTTGATCCTGCAGATACATCCTTAAATTCAAAGTTTCTGGTTGAGAAATCTTTTATCTTCTCAAAGATAGGAGAATAAACTTGAGGTAGAGAATTAGAAACAGCACAAATTTATCCAAGTGTGTAAGAAGAGAGACATGCCTCTGGAAACTTGCTGGGAAAAGTCTTTTCAAAGGCCCAAGACAGCTCACAGTGCCAGGGCAAATAAAGTAAAGTTCTGCCAGTGAAAAGCCAGAAGATGCATTGTCAGAACTGAGACAAGAGCTCTCAGCTCCAGAACACAAACTTCCTAACAGGTATTAGAGTGAATCTCTAGAACGTATCTTCTCAAGAGTAAACATGTTTCTCACCTCAAAGACTAGTAAAAGTGGTAAAAAAATGGAATTAAAAGCTTTTCTTTAAAGTTTATTAACCAAGGAGACAGCTTTACTCAGCACAGTAGCTGACTAATGACTCTTACATTCTATCCTACAGAAAGAGACAGGTCAGGTTTAGAAAAGTATCTGAGAAGCAAAGCTTTGATACCAGAGATACAGTCAAAAAACTAATATTTAGAATGTTTAAGTGGAGTTGTATCTGTAAAAAAACCACACTTCTATGTTTAGACTAGTCCACAGAAAAATAATCCTCCCCACTAAAACCTAAACAGTCTCAGCAAAAGGCAGAACACTTACTGACTTACCTTTAAATACCTTTTATAATGCCTACAGGTTACCAGTCTGAGCACATTTTGTATACTATCTGGAATTTTTACATTTCCTAAGAAATATTATTAAATTTTTTTAGTCTTAAGCTCTGAAAGTCTGCACATAGAAGACAACAAAAAGGTGAAAAGAAACTTAACATTGTACCAGCAAGAAGGATTTTAGGCCAATATAGTTAACCCTCTTAGACATAGTGCTTCAAGCAAACATAGCTTATGGTTTGGCATTTTATATTTGTTAAAATGAATTTCAGTAGTTCAAAATCTTACACGACTACACTTCAGAAGGGAAAGGTTCTTTTAGAGGTGTTTCCTGTTTATAAAAGATACTGACCCTGTTCTGGCAATGGCTGTGTCAAACACCCTCTACCACAAATATGTTCATAAACTTCTGATATGTGCTGTAAATGGTCACTCTGAGAAGTAACAGATACTCAAAACTCCACTCAGGTGTAACAGCCATGGCATAGAGACAGAAAAGGATGCTGATTTATGATGTGCATTTCCAGCACCAATTAAAGCACTTGTTTATTAAACATAAACTTTCACTTGCCATTCCCCATTTCACGTGCCATTTAAGAAATGAAACTTTATTCTTATTCTGCCTCCTGATTTCACAAAATATTTGGGTTTGAGAATTAGACATGTTTGAACAGGAGTGTATTAAGAACAGCTGAAGTTTAAAAAGCATTGTTCAAAAGTTCTGTCACTGAAAACCAGGCACCAACCTTGCAACTCTTCTGTCTCAGGTACTGTTTTGTCCACAGCCGTACTATCCGGTTGGGATGATGCTACAGATTCTGTTAAAAGTGACTGACTGGACACAGGGCTGAGGGGCAAAAGAAGAAAATGATAATTTTTATTATGCATTTTCACATTCTTTTCCTGTAAGATACATTAGGGCACCTCATGATGAGAACATTTCACTCTGAAGTTGTTTGTGTAACCACTTAAAACTGCTACAATCTGAACTGACACAAAGGGTAAACTTTTTTTTTTTTTCAACTCATACTGAATGCAACAAAACAGTTCCACTGTAAAAAAGGGAAAATATTTTGGGTGGTTTGGCATACCATCATTCCACACAGAAGCAACAATGCAACATTCAATATGCAAGGATCTTTATAACAGAAGTCAGCAAGATAATTGTATAGGAGACAATTTCAGTGCTCTGGTGATACAAACGAGAAAATTGCAGCATGTCAATGTTTCCAGTAATAAAGCTGCAGCAGCTGCACACAGAAACCCTTGGATTCACAGTGTAAAGTGGTGCAGGCAAAACTTCCCAACCCTTCAGCCATACTGCTAAATTACAGCATGCCTGAACACCCTGAGCAGTTTGGAGAGAGCAATTCAACACTGGCCATGACTCCCAGCCAAGCTGCTCATCCAGCAGCTCTCCTGTGGAACAACACTGTGCTACCTCTTGCTTGGGACTTGAGCTCTATCTCATCTGCATTTTTTTTTCTTCTTTTCCACTGAGGGATTCACTCTGAAGGCAAAAACCAGATTATCCAGCAGCCCATGAACCAGCACTCCATAGCACAACAGGAGCATTGGAGTTGCAATTTTAATTGTCAAGAACTGCACATAGGCCTTGAACTGCTCATCTGGCCATCTACAAAAGGGCATTGTCAATTAGGATACTCTGAGGACAGATAAAATGAAGTCTGAGGTATTTCCAGAGACTGAAGTTGAATTCCTGCTCTTTTTTATTTCGAAAACAAAAACCCAAGCAAGTGACACTAATTTTTTTCAAGTGCAAGTCCAAGAGCAACCATCCACTCCTTTCTTCTGCAGCCAGCAATCAAGCCAGTGATCAGTGAGGTACTTCTGTTCTTTCATGGTTTTATTGAAGTTGTGACAGAACAAAGGCAAGGCACTGTAATTGGTTCACATCTGTGCATTGACCTGGATGAACTTTTTTTTTTTTACGAACACCAGAAGAGTTGTTTCAGGGTAAGATACGTATTTTCTACCCCAACTGTAAACCTCAGAATGGAAGGACTAAATATAGCATCAAGCATGGCACCTAGCTCTCAGTTCATATGCAGGATCCAAGCATGAGATAACACCTCCTATAAAAAGCTAGAGAGCAGAAAAGTCTGAGCTGAATCAATCAGCAGGAACTGATGAAATCTCCCTTGCCCTGTGTTCTATTATATTCATTTTTTTAAAAGAAAAGTTGAAGTGAGTATTACTGCAAGATTAGCTTCCATAGTATGTAACACACTAACACTTTTCACTCAAAAAATCTCCAAAGTGCTTAAGCTGCTGTTGGTTGTGTCACTCTAAACAGAAATGGAGCCACTAAATATAAACAAATATTTAGCTTTTACAAATGGAGTACACTTAGTAAGTCTGAGTGATTTATAAGAGGATATTATGTATCCTTGAATAACCCAGATGGAAATTACTTGTTTAATAAGAGATCAATTCAGTAGCACAACTTGTACCAAGACTTGTGTCTTTACCCTGTTCTAGTACTCTCCACTTCTTGCAAAGCAACTGGCTTGTTAACACATTATCATACATTTATTTATGAGAGCTCTCGTAAACAGCTCCCTGCCATTTTACAAAATCCTCAAATTTCTAGGATGAGAAGAGTTCTCCTTTGGTAAATGTACAACTACAAGTTGAGGAAGCAGAAGAGCAGCCAGACAAATCTCTGTAGAACAGAAACTGACAACTTCTATTTGAAGCTAAATTCTAAAGACAAATTTCCATTTGAATGGCAGATGAAGCACAGAGATCTGCTAGCATTCACCCTGAGATCCCATGCTTTAAAGTTAGCACTGAAATCTTACACCTTTTCCTAATCCTGGTTCCAGCATTTAATTATGCAGGATCAGCACACTTCATTTAATCATTCTGACAGAGATTTTTCTGTAAAGACACAGAGCAGATTGAAGCACCTTACCTTGGCTGCATAGATGGAGTCGATGTAGAATCTAAAGTGGACTGAGTTTCCTGGGCACTGCCCTCTGTGCACTGGACCGGTAAGGACTCGGTGATGCTACTGACAGAGGCTGCTGCAAGACACACCCAGGGAAAAGGGGTTATGCTGCTTCCTGGATCACAAAACTCACACACTGCATTTACTCTCTGACCCTGACAACATCAGCCAGGAGAGCAACTGAATCTCTGCCTACACCATAAGGAAATGTAATTTTACAAAAAAGTAATTATGTTGGCCATATTTTGATCTTATTCCAGCCCCAGTCCCCCAGAACTTACATGGCAGAAAATTTTGAAGCTAGAGTTTTGAAGCAGTTACTATTATTTACTAATTAAAGCATCTACAAGCAGCTTGCTCAGCATAAACTGCTGTACTCTGACACAAGAAGCTGGTGTTTAAAAAAACCAAGATGGATCTCGTAAAATATCAATAAAACATCCTAAAGCCAACTCCAGATGCATTTTGAACATGTAGAACCCAGATCCCCAGATTTCAACAGCAGATATTGCTTCTACTTAAAAGGTCAGTTTGAAAGAAAGGCAACAGTATGCAGGGCACTGGGCCAAAAAGAACAAAGTATGTGAAGTTAAGGAGAAACTATTGTTGCCTTTTCCCAACCTGAAAATGAAACTCAAAATAATTTTAGTAAGAGCAGATCTTTTCTTGAAGGTCTTCAGGGGAAGTTATGTAAAGATGTCCACAAAAGCCCCTGAAGGCCTTCAAAAGGAAAAGGCATCACTATCAAGTGTTTACAGGTTAATCTTTAAGAATGAGGTCACAGAGATGAAATACCTGTTCTTTAAAAGGCCTTCCACAAACATTTCCCAAACTCAATCCTATCTCTGTCAGTAATTCCAGCAAAAATATGTTGTAGTGTTTTTTTCTGCATTTTTATAATTTCAAATCAGAAACACTCAAATGAATACAAAAGGTATTAGTGAGAGTCTTCTGAGCAGATTAGTGGCAACACAATTACATTATGGGCATTCCATCCAAGCTCATTCCATAAGGTAAGATGCTGGAATGAAATGGCTTGCACTAATGCCCCAACAATCAGTATCTGGACATGGCCAGGAAGCTGCTGCCTGCTGGGTCAGGCTGAGCTGCTGACACACACACTGTGTGCTGGGGTTACTTACCAGGTGGGCTAATTCTACCATTACTGTTCTGCCTTTGAAGGTGTTCTTTGTAGCACACTGAGCACATGCCATTTGTGCGAGGGTTCCCGTAAAATCCGCAGCCAGTGGAACACAGCATAGGCACTTGGCTACGGTTAGTTTCTTGAGCCATTCTCCCTTCTTCTATAAACCTGAAATTGATACACACAACCCAGCATTTAGAGGCCTGAGAAAACTCTTCTTTTACAGCTGACATTTGAAAATCTGGAATTTCCTATAGCTCAGCAAAAAGATCATCCAGAAAAAAATGCCTTGTGGGTAACTCAGTGCCCTTTCCCAAAAAGTCTATGAAGTCTGCCTAATAACACAAATACAGTCATATGTAGGCTTTGCATGACCCACCCTCTTAGCCCCACCAATTTATTTTCAATATACATCCCACAAAGAAAAGTAATTTGATCAACTATTAGAAGTATTACTGTTTCTGGCAGTCAGGTGAGGAGAGCAGGGGAGGGGGACACAAGCTGAAACCTAAACACCTGACACTGTGCATGAGAGCTGTAAAATAGAGACAAGCATGGTAACACAGGCTTACTTGCTGCATAATTATCATTAACAACAGTCACATGAATCCACATGTCACTGTTTAGTCACTGTGTCATTAGTGAAAGACGACACAACTGCTTACCACAAACCCTGGATTGTGATTTTTCACACACTAAGAGAAAATCACCCTTACAGGCAAAAACTATTAGACCATGTACACAACATCCTATTTATAAATTCACTGTGAAAATATAGCAAAATGAGAAGTAAGAAATATACAAGTTGAAAGATATATGATATATGAGTTGTCACACAAAACCCAAATTTAAGGATGTTAAATAAAACATCCTAAAACATAAAAAAAATTTGTTCACCCCTGGCTTGTATTAATCAAGTTTATAGATATTTGTAAGACATTACAAGAAAATTACAACAAATGACAATTTCCATCAGTGTTCTGAGACTCCCAACCATTATTAAGTGGTCTAACATGGAAATAATTTTTGACATGTCATTTCATGAGATAAAATTAATTTTCCATTTCCCCCCTCCATAAATATACAATTGCATATTTTCAACAAATTAGAAAGATAAAACAGCTTCACATTAAGAAACTAGATATATCAAGGTATAAATTACTTCTACTTAATTCAAGATCAACTTAGGTCTACCATTTCCTGATTAAAAAGTAAGCCGAAGCATAGGTAATTTTAATTCTTGCAAGTCAAACCAAAGATAAGCAATATTACTGAAAAAATAAAAATCTTGCAAGTAACATCAGTATACATTTCAAACAAACAAAAAAAAAATCCAGAGGGAAAGGGGTTTCAAGACACTTGAACACTTCACCAATTGCCATGTTATAAAACTAGATGAAACACAGTAGTGCCACAGTAAAAAAGATTTCCTTTTACATAAGAGGTATTCAAAGCCAAACACAAACAACATTACCATTATTTTGTTTCCAGAGAAATCTCCTCATCTCCTCTCACACCCACATCCACTCCATCTTGTTTTTATTTCCCCAAAACATATGAAATTGATACCAAGAGCAAACCTCTGGGTTGCAAAGCCAACAGCAACACAGAAACAAGTCAAGTCTTCTGCTCACAGCAATAAGGTACTCTGTGGACGAGGAAGGATTCAAGATATAAGACAAGGAAGAGGTACAGGCAGGAAGACAACCAAAATCTGATACTATCTTTTTCAGCTTCAACCTGCAATTAAGCTTATTTCAGCTGTTGACTACACTCCCCCACCCCAACAGAGAATCACTTGCTTTCAACATACAAAGCCCCCATTGACCTCACACGACAGCTAAATTTGATTTTTGCTGAAGTACTGCACTTGTAGCTGAAAGAGCACTTTCATTCCTGCTTTTCTCCAGACAGTCTTTCAGAATGAAACTGCAAGTAGTGCATGTGGAATTTAATTCTTATGCTGGGCCCAACATTTTAGAGAAGCCATTTCAGGGAAGTGCAAATGAATATGAGTTTGCTGTGCTTTGGTAACCAGAACCAATTTAAAGCTGAAACCTTACACAAGTCACTTTTGGCATAGAATGTTTAAGATTGAAAGACTAATTAAAAACACTTTTGACTGAGTATTTCAAGAGCTAATAGAGATTCAATGTCACAATGTAGTATTAATCCTTTTAACTTTAGGCAACAACATATTAAAGAACCCTACACTAACTTCCAGATTGTACCATGATTTTCTTTCTGTTCAATATCAGCTTCAAATAGCACACAGGATCTCAGTAACTGCACCAGCCACTGCTAATATTCTCCAAGACAACACTGCTGAAGGGATCAGGTGCTAACACAAAAACAGAATAACAATCTCTAACTTGGATGTAAAAAAAAAAAAGTTCTGCTCCAATTCAATAAACAAACTCTGAACGGTGCCCAACGATGCCCAGAAGAAAAACAAGAAAAGCTGGCCTGAGTTCCAGCTAAGCCAGTTCCCAAGTTCATTAACCAGTGGATCCTGTCACCAGTCAAAGCACAAGCCACTGGCATGAGGCTCCAGAACACTTCAATCTCCAAAGGGAAGTGCCAGGGATTCTTCTGCAGAGTTTTAATAAGGGCCACAGGAAGCGGAAGATCTTTCATTGGTTGCTAATATTTAAGAAATACAATGAATAAGAGATAGGATCAACCTGATGCAATGTTATGAAGCCAAAGGAGAACTTGCACCAAGACAACAGCTTGTTGGATATGAAGGGGACAATTGGGTACAATCCACCTCACCCACACAATTACTGCTGTGAGCTACCAGAAAAACCCACCAGGAAAAGAAAGGACTATCACCAACACAAAGTTTTCTGACAGTTCAGTGAGCTCAATCAGTTCACATGCAAAAACAGAACAAGTAGAAAGTCCAACACAGGAGAGCCTCTGGAACTCACGTGAGGAACACGTCATGTCCCTCCTGGGGACAACACATGTTTTAGCAGCCTGTAAGCTCCTGGGATGGTTGAACTCATCTACTTGAACCCTAAAGCCACAGAATGCCAAACCAGTATAATGAGCTCTCCTGTGCTTTGCCCTCCCTTTCAGTACTCACATGTACCAAAATGAAACAAGGAAATGATCAAACTTAAAAAAATCAACCACTCCACCTTCTGCCAATTAGTTTCAACACAGATTGGTTTCTGAGCTCATTTGTCACGTGTGTGCTATTTGGGCAGGAGAGAGGGTATAGCTGCAGACACGTGTGGAAACGCCTGTTTCAGCAGCAGAGCTGCTAAGAGAGCCACTAGCCAGCACCAGGCATTGGTGAGAAGAGAAGGAAAGAGACCCAAGTACTGGCAGTTCTGCCCCTGCACTCGAGCCATGCCTGTCCTGTACACACAGATGACACAGCCCTGCTGTGTGGGGACTCCAGGCCCCAGGCAAGCTGCCACCAGCAGAGCAGCCGGACTCTGGCCCCAGCACAGCAAACATGGGCAGTGAGGGATCACGCAGCAGGTGTGTTTGGGGGAGGGAAGGACCTCCCATCAGCCCAGCTCTTGGCTCAGCTTCAGATGATTTTTGTTTCAAAACCGTAATGGCTCACACAGAAGACCCACAGCATCACTGACCCCAAAAATGCCACAGAGCAGCAGAGGTGGGCAGTCACTGCTGAAACCACTGTCAGAGGGGCAGGCATGATCCCACAGCTCTGGCCACTGCTGCCCCCCATCCCTGTCTGCAGCCACATCAGCTCAGCCATCTCATGCAAACAGCACAAATATTTGTTCTGGTGCACTGGAGAGCTTGCTCATCTGACAGAAGATCAACTCCAGAGAAATGACATACACTGCACAGGAAGTGACATGGCTAAAAATAGGACAACCCTTTTTAGGGGCAGCAAGCCCTTGCTGAGCATCAAGCCTACTGTAAAATAAATCCCAAGCGCATACACGATCCATAATTTCAAAAATGGCCTTCCCCTAGCTTGGCTTCAGCATGACACTTGAAGCAGCTTCATAGCTGAAATGACAACAAGGTCTTGGGATCAACATGTACATCCCTCTCGGTTTGAGGTGTCACAAAACCAACGTGGAGCTTGTCAAGCTCCTGGAAATGCCTCTGGGCTCTGCCTGTTCTCCCAGAGCTGTGCCTGCATAGCATTCATAGAGTAATGCTATGAATTCTGAAGGTTATTCTGAATGCAGAATTGATTTATCTTAAAGAAAAAAAAAACAATGAAATGACAGAGCTCTTCACAATATTTTAAACACATTCCCTGCTTTGCTTTACAATACAGTTGTATAACCAGTTGTACAAGCCCTAATGAGAAGGAACAGACTAGAGGGAAGTGCAAGAGCTTTCAACAACTCCTCTCAATGCAACCCCAGAACATCTACTTCACTGAATGGAATAAACACCCTCAAAAATTGCCAAACTTCAGCTGAAATTACCTCTGTTTCTTAAAGATATTTATTGCCACTAGAAGCATGGCAGCACACATCTCTGCAGGCTAAGCCCTCCTTTTCCTACGAATAAGGTGCTTACAGTCTACCTGTTCCTGTTACTCCTGCAATACACAACTTCATTCGTTTAATAATGCCCTCTTACTGCTGCTGCTAGAGGTCCTGTCTTTCCTCCCTCACCATCACATCCTCAGAGTAAATTCCTCTCTGTACCAAGCAAAAAATATGGAAAGGACATGCCTATAAAATGTATAAATTGAAGCTGCAGAAACACTAAAGCAGAGCAAATCTTCTGGACGTCAAGTTCTCTGGAGAAAGAGACACATCTTCCGATATTCTGTAAAGCAAGCAACAAAGTACTTGTGGACATCTCTTCCCCACAGAACAGGCAATGTGATACTGGTCTCCCTCCCCATTCTCTTTCTTCTTTTCCTTTTAATTAAAATGTTTATATGCCACTAGTTTCAAATAACTGATACCCCAGCTTTATAGGCTTCAAATGTTAATCAGTAAGATCAGAGAGAGCAGCATTTAGGAGGATTAAACACACAAGGTTTAAGAATAATCTCTTTCACTGCTCCCCCCCCAATTCTAGACAAGAAAAAAAAAACTGGCACAGAAGCCAGCTTTCTCTTCATCTGTCTTCCCCAAAGAAAAAGGTCTCTTGAATACCAGTTACCCTCATACTTCAGGTTCTGGTAAGGAAAACAAGCAGATCCTCACACC